CCCCCCCCCCCCCCCCGCCCAATCTCCCAAGGTCTTTCCCACATACCATTACAGTTTCTTATTTAAAAGCATCATTTGCATCTTATGCCAGACTGTTCAGACACAGTGACCAGATGCATCACGTGATGGGTTTCCTCTCCTTTCCATGGCTGAGGATATTAGGAGAAATGTACCTTTTCACCTAGGGGTAATATACCATTTGGTATTTCATGGGAATAAGAGCTGGTCTGTCTGTCTGTCTGTCTATCTATCTATCTATTTTCAGGTAATAGTTACAGAAAGTTTTGAGGGAGTATGTATTTTTATTTATTTTGACTAAAAATTCAAATTCAAATGCTGTAGTAGTAGAATTATTTTCTATATAAATACAACAGAACAATGATCCACAAAATCTGTGCTTATTCTTGACAGCTGTGGACTTACAGGTCTAATTGAAGGCAAAATTTCTCCCAATGTGGAAGATTTTAATAACCTCTCTAGATAGATGAGGAATCTTCACTCTTATTTTTTCCTCCCATTGTTTTGTTGAGAGCTGGTCAGAGACATGGAACTTATGTTTTTCAGATCCTGGTAGGTCATAATCCTGTGAATAAATCAGAAGGACTCATTAGTTAGAAAGCATTTCATGGTATTTTGCTGAGGGCAGCAAACAGCTATTTTGCTATTAGTCTGTTTATATTCTCTAAAATTCTGGTTATATTTTTAATGAACTGGGTAGCTCAAAGATACCATGGCTTTTTACATACTTAGAGATTTAAATCTAATGCTATTTTGCATATTCCTCATAAGCCATGGCAGAGCGAGCATCACTGACTTCAGTTCCCACTTGCATCACTTCAGTGCCTTGTATAAAAAGGGGGATAATATAAAGCCCCAAGTCAGTTGTGTGTTTTTCAGGTGGATGGACAGACAATGCACTGTGTGTGTGTGTGTGTGAGTGAGAGAGAGAGAGAGAGAGAGAGAGAGAGAGAGATTAAATGAGAGCCTCATTTGGTTGGTGAGAGAAAAAGCATGTTAGTCATGATTCTCTCACTGTTTCTAAAGAACATAAAAAAGGCAGAGAAATTGAAGGTGGCTTGATAGTATTAGAAGGCACCAATGGCTAATTGCCATAGATAATTAAATCTAAATACTATCAAATTCGGCTTCTATTTTGTTATCCTCTTCTGAGGTAGCATTTGGGTTCACACAAACCCATAAAGAGGCATGAAGCCTTTAAGACGATTCCCTATGGCAACTGTCTCTGTGTAGCAGAATTTCAGGTACATTGGTGGAGTTGGCCTTTCATTGCTCCATCACTAGCCGCCTGTTCCCCCATGGAGGGGAAGAGTGAGGCTTGGAGGAAAAGGAGCAAGCCTTCTGCAGGAGCAGAGCCAGGATTTGCTGCTGCTGGTTTTGCCCAAACCATGTTTTCTTCCCTCTGAGAGGAAGAGCAGGACAGAGGCAAAATGTGGAAGGCCAGTCAGCAACAGTGGGAAAGGATGAGCCTTTGAGGGAAGAGGTGTGACCTCTCATGGGCTAGATGGGCCATATTACGACCATTGACCAGGAGGTTTCCCTTTCCTGCCCTACCTCGCCATAGGCTTTGTGTAAGTGTGCAGGTTTATGGTAGATTTCAAATAGGGGTGAACATGAAATGGGGCATTGAGCTTCCCTATTTCCTGTTAAAACACAAGGTGATAGCTGATGGTCTCCATTTATTAGAGCTGGACCACAGATATGAAAGTTATTTTGCAAATGGTCAGAAGTAAACAACCTGATATCAGTCCATTGCCCAAATGAGGAAAGCTGGAAATTGTCTCTCCTGCTGAAAAGAGATTCTCTTGTAGCTTTTTATGTAGACCAGGCAGGAGAAAGAGGTGCAAGAAGTTTGAATATTGATTGTTATAAATAGGGCTGACATTTGATACACAAGAGTCTCTGGAATTCTTCCTAATGGCTTCATGGGTTTGCTGTAATCAATCTATTTATCTGAGCCTTCATTTTGTGGGAAACACATTCTTGCCTTGTCAGCTGAGAGAGGCTTGACAACAGATTACTCAGATCTGGACCACAGATTACTCAAATTCTAGCTCTCATCAAGTTCTTGACTGGCTGTATATATTGACTAGTTATGTGTTCTTTGCTTTCCCATCTGGAAAATTAAGATTATAATGACCCTCTCAGTGGTGATGCAGTCATTTTTATAACAGTGGCTGTAAAATACATTGCATTACATTAGTGTAATGCAAAAGATAACTAAGATCATACATTTTAGCTCCAGCGAGCATGTTTATTTTACAAAAATCTGCAAATCCTGCAGAATATTTAGAACAGCACAAATGGAAATAACAATTTAAAATATTTTCAGAAATCACAATTAATTGTCATTAACAGCAGGCAAAACCTGAAACATACTAGAAGTCAGAACTGCATTAAATGGAAGGCACAAGAATTAGATGTTATCACATTAACAGTAGTGTTTTTAGAACAAAATTCTTATGGCTTCCCTTGATCAGTTGAACTATGAGGCATCTACTAATAAATGGATATTGCTCGTTAAGAATATGTGGCAAATGAAAAATAAAAATTGGGGAGGTGCAGCATTTTCCAAATTAATTCTGTGGTCCTTAGTTTGATTCCTTTTTTTAAAAAATAGCATTTCTCTGGTGACGTTACTAGAAAAGTCTGTGTATGTGTTGCTAGACTTTGGCACCAATCTTCTCATGGTAGAAGCAAGAGAATAGCAGAAAGAAGAATGAGGGTGGAGCACACAGGAACTGAAGGGCCAGATGGAGGGACACAGGCAGCATAAGGAAAGTCACAGCCAAGATGGAACTGGGAAAGACATAAAGAGTCTGTTTCCTTTACTTGATGCAACCAGTTCTTAGAATACAGATTAATAGTCTTAGATGAACTGATTTTAATTGACAAATTGAATCAGTTGGCAGTAACTGTACTGTAACATGTAGGTAACAATAATAGGTGCCTGAAATTGAAATTTAGATCCAATATATGCTCACATCTCATCCAAGAATAGATTTTCACAGACGTGTTGTGGCTATACCTTCTGGCATTCTGGCTGGGAATTCTGGGCATTTTTAATCCTATACATTTGGAGATCACCTAAGGGCTGCTTTAGAAATACTTAAACAATACTTTGCATTTCTATGGAGGGAGGCACTTTTTCATGCATAATTCTAGGTTTCTCTATTTGACCTGGCAAGTAATGATTACAAAGATTGGATGCCATTAAAATGTAATTGTCTTTACTCTTTGTAGATAGAAAGCATGTGCTTTCCCTCTCCTGCAGCAGCACATTATACAGCAGCGAAAATGAATCTGAGTCTGAAACCAGGAAGCGTGAGGATGAGGAAGACAATACAGACATTCATTCAGAATATGACACAGAAACCACCAAATCTCAACGAGAGGGAAGTCAGGAAACTGATGTGGAAGAAGAGGAAAACTTGGGGGAAACAGAAAACATGGCCACCAAGAATGTGCCAGATATCTTCTATGAAGAAAAGGTGGAGATGAACCTTCAGGACATGAGTCCAGGCCGTGAGGAACTCAAGCATATAGGGTCGGTAGACATAAACATGAGGGAAGATGGGGAGGAGGAAGAGAAGGATAAGTTAGTGCATTTGAAAAGGAGTGCTCTAGAAGGACATCTGGGAAGCAAGATTTCTGAAGATAAGGAAGGTGGTGAGTATGGTTTGCCGAGAGATCTGTGATGGGTCTGGCAAATACAAGTGTGTTTTGGTGATTCTTAAGTGAATGCTGATTTTTCTGTGCTGCGTTTTGATATTGCATCTGGGGGGGGGGGGAACCCTGCTTGAATCTTCCTAAATCTATTAATATCCTTGAATGGGGCAAGGTTTTGCTTTGCTGTATCTGCGAGATAACTGGCAGAGTTTTGTCTTGAAATTGCTGTGTTATCTTATTTTTTTAAGTGCTGGAATGGAGTACTATTACCTGTATGGCTTTGGTGAGTCTTTCTCTTGTCTCTATCACTAATGTGCATGGGACATTTTTTGACTGAATTAATTTCATTCCTAGTTGGTAGCAGGGGCAAACAGATGAAATGAATCTTAGATCAGTGAATATGCTTGGACTTGATAGTGATCATCACTGAAATCTTAATTGGCAGAACTATTACAAAAAGAACAAAATTCTAAAGGATGATTGTATCAAAGCAGTTGATTTGTGTGTATTTTGTAAAGACTCAGAAACATAATATCTAAAACAAACCTTTGTGTATTTTTATCATTTGGGACAATGAATTGGGAGACCCAAATACAAGGGTTGCTTTTTTTTTCACATTTTTCATGATTATGGAGACTATCGATTACCAAATTTAGATAATCCTTCCTTATACTAGGTCAGATTATTTGACCATCTAGGCTACCATTGTCCAATCCAATCTTCCCAAACTGTCCACTAAATATATTGGGCTCCAATATCCAGAATTCTAACCCATACGATCGTTTCCATGAATCATAAAATATGGATTTTTATTTACACAGATTATTCCTGTTTCCTGCATCAGATCCATTGGCAAGAAAAACAGAAGTATTCTATTTTTATTTTTTTTAATTTAGCTTGTAAATTAAAGGAAATATTGTAAGAGTGAATCAATTAATACTAATTAGCATGCTATCAGTGGTGATGCAGACATGAAAGAAAGCCATAAGTCATGCTAATATTTTGATTTGTGGTTTAGAATATGTTCTTCAGATGGTGATATACTATGTTCTTGCTTGGTTTAATAGATGTTGATAGATTGTTTCATATTGCTTTGTGTTGCTAGATTTAATAGTTCAGCATGGGCAGAAGGTTATAAAATGGGAATTGTTTGCTAACATCTTGGTGCTGGATTGCTTTTCATTGCCTTGCAATTTGTTGTGTATAAAACATGGAGGAAGATTGAAAAAAATACAGTTCTGGATAATTATGTTGAATTATTTATAGGTGTTTAGTTGCTTGAAATATTTTCCTTCATCCATATGCTAGGTTTTCAATATGAGTGACTTTGCAATTAGACTGTTAGATGAGATGAATATTTAAGTACAATTGAGGAATGAAGTTATTAACCACTTAATAAGCATACATATAGGATTAAATATTCTAATGCTAAATGCAAGCATGGAGAAATCATGTAGGTTGATTCAGTAGCCTGCCACAGATTTTAGTGTAAAAGAATATCATCATTTCTATTTTGCTCAGACTTATGACCATGATAATCAAATGACTGTTTGATAGCTTTAGTTTTGAGTTACTACAGCATTTAGTAGTGTCTTCAGATTCTGCTGATGTAGTTCAGGGTAGTAAAAATCTCAACTACCAACATCTCTTTAAAAAAAAGTTTTACCGGGCAGTAGGTGATATGGTATGCCATGATGAATGTACTGGCAAACAAATAAAAAGTTGTTATTTAAAATTTCTGAATGGGAATGTGAGGACAGATTTAACATTGTAATGGATGATTTTGAAGATCAGCATACAATGAATTGTTTTGGGAACAGCAGTATATCCAACCTAATGATATTCAATCATTAAGACCATATAAAGCTTAATTAACCAATTAGTTGTGGTAGGGGATCAGATTCTAAGACTGGTTTGAAGCACAAATCCTTTGATCAGTCTAGTCAGGTCCCTTTATTCAGACAAATCAGAACAGTCATCCATACACAGAATGACTCCCCTGTTTTATAGCAGGACTCAGATTGTAACATTTGACAATAGCCAGCATAGTAGAGTAGTAAAGAAAGGAGAAAAAAAGGTCAAGTTCACAGGAGAGGAGTAGCAGGAATGCCCAGAAGAGGCATATAAAAGAAGCATATATATGTGAAAATGATACAAGGATATTCTCCCTTGGAAATGTATTACAGGTAGTACCTCTCAAAGCTCTGTAAATTGAATGAATCTTATTTCTTAGCAGGTTGCCCAAATCCAGTGAGAGAAGCATCAGCTCTTGTTCCTTTTTTGCCTGCCAAAAACTTTTTGCCTGCCAGTGAGTTTCATGCACTAATTGATTACATCTGCTCATTTTGGCTGTCATGCATCTTTTTTTAACCACCAAATGGGTTAGGGCAGTGTTTTTCAACCTTGGCAACTTTAAAATGTGTGGACTTCAACTCCCAGAATTCCCCAGTTAGCATGCTGGCTGGGAAATTTTGGGAGTTGTAGTCCACACATCTCAAAGTTGCCAAGGTTGAAAAACCTGGGTTAGGTTTAGGGTTAGGGCTAGGTCTAGGGTTTATTGATCAATGGTTGACAGTTACCTCTGCAAATATATGTACCCATGTCATAATGACAACATGGATAACACACCAATTGATTATGTCCACGGTGGACAAAAACTTTTCAGATGAGATGTTAACACTAAAAAGGAATGAAAGCTGAGACATCAACCCACAGAAACTATATATGCTAAGAGAGTCTTCTAGTTACTGGAGATCCTCACTGCTAGTTGCAGGCTATTTATTCTTCACATCTATGGTTGGATCAGTGGCAGGTTGTTTAGGATCCATTGTAGCCTTAAACTGTACATGGCAATGCCTTATCCATCTTGCTTACATTGTAGAGATAAAATAAAGGAATCTCCATGCACCAAACTGGCTTAACCATTTTATAGACACGTTAACCTATAGGTGATGCAGTGCTGCTGAAGGTTTTACTGCAAAATGCATGAATAGTGTGTCTGTACTTCAGGAGAACCCTCAGTCTTTTCCTTTTTAAAAAGGCATAACATAAACGCTGGAGAGAATTTTGACTTACAGGGCAATTTCTTTCTCTCTCCTTTGATGTCATTTTGGACAGAAGAAAAAAATGCGCTGTTGTTCCAGGAATCGTGGTTTCTGAGCTGATAGGAATGTGATATTAATAATGCATATTTTGTTACAAACAAGTGGAATGTAAATAACCTTATTATGAAAACCCTAAAGTTGCAGTGAAAATATTAGTACCATTTTAAGCTGTCACAGACCCTAATAATAATGTGGTGGAAGTTCTGCACAGCAGAACCGGATATGCACATGTTGAACGTGTGGGGATTTGCATTCAGCCCTTCCCATGCATCCAAATGAGACAGAGCTTGCAAGCTATTTTACTTTCTTAAGGAATTAACAAAACTGTTGGAATTGTGTCAGGAAGCTTAGTATTCAAAGATGCCCTTAGCTTATCTGTGGTGGAATAATAGCTTTTCAATTGTATTGTTGTTGTTATTGCTCTTGTTGTTGTTTGTATCCTGCCTTCAGGATACCTTTCTGTTTTTAATTTGTGCACAAATTAAAACCATTTCTGAACAAAGGTGACCTTATGGCTTGGTGGTATTTGAAGGCGGTGAGTGCTTTGTGTAATTTTTGCATGGGGAAGATAGTGCTGCATGAAATTTTCATTGCCTAAAGAAAGAATGACGTTTGCTGACACGTGTGCATAATTCATCTTTATGGTGAAGAACTTTGCTGGATCTTAATTGCCATCCTTAGCTAGTTGTAGAGTAATTTGTAAGCTCATTTTAAGTTCAAGGGTTTTTTTTTTTTTGTTTTCTCTTTTTGCTCTCTCCTTTTATGATTGCGGTACTATTTTTTTTGAAGATCGCAAATCGGTCAGAGAGAAAATAGCTGAGGCTATTGCAAAAGATCAACTTTTGAGTTCTGAACCTGAACCTAGTGATTACAGTACAGAGGATGAGGAAGAACATATAACTGCTACTCAAAAACATGAAGGTAAATTCAGCTGTTTGCATGGAAGCTTATCTTTAATATTTCTTTCCAGTTAAATGCCATGTCTAATTGATTTTTAATCCTTATGTTTTATACTTCCATATTTTTCTTCTTTTTCTCTCTTTCATAGGGAAAAAGGTTTCTCAATAACTACTGTCTCAATACCTACTGTCAAATACTGTCTTCCTAGGGAAAGAGTGATCCTTGAAACTGCTTAACCTTCAGCCCATTCCTTGCACATCAACCTATGCGCTACAAAACATTTATATATGCAGGGAACCCAGATATAACTCAGGGGAAGCAGCTAAAGGCCTCATCGGGCCTTCTCCAGCCTCTAATTTATGGTCCCAAGAGCTTTCCAAAATAGCCTAGATTATCTTTGCTGGCATAATGGCTGATATTTGGCAGTGTAGTTACAGCCTTTTTTTCCTGAGTCAATTAAAGTTCAAATGGATGTAGTCAATCTGAGGTTGAATGCATCAATGTTATCCTTTACTTTGCCAAACCCTCCCAACCCTTACAAATAATGTGTTTAATCACCTGTATGGTGACAAGATTGTATCACCAAATATGTTCCTTGTAGCTCCTGGAAGTCAACTAAAAAAAAAAAAAAGACCCCCCCTTCCCACCAGACAGAGATTGCTTCCTCATGTCTTACATTATCCAACAATTTTACAGAGCATATTGGCTGGGAATTTTGCTATCACATGAGCAAAAGGTAAACTTCAGGTCACAAGTCAGGTTCTTCTACAGCTGTACACTATAAGAAAAAAAATAATACTGAGATGAAGTTGTCTTAAATTATTGAAACCTCTGAGAAACCCCCAAAAGCAGCTTTCTGGGCCTCCATATATAATGCCCAGCTCCTGTTCCAGAGTGTTTTAAGAATGGGTGGAGTCCAAGTCAAATTTTTAACAGCTGGCTTATTCTACCTGATAGTGATTTGAAATCTCAGCCATGCAAAATCCAGTCATAAGGATAGAAGAAGAAAAATATAAATATCCGACAAGTTTTAATGCTATTGTTAGAGGGGAAGTATTATATGCATATCAGGTGGTGCAATCATATTTTCAATATACTTTATGCAGTTCCCATTGCCTATTGTGGGAACCCAGCAATTTTGGTTCGTAAACTGTGCTTTATGGCTTAGTATTATGTGTGACCTTCACTTGGGACTTATTCAACAAATCATGTTATTAATGTTCATGAAGAGCAAGGAAGTACCACCTATGAATATATATGGATGTGGAGTTTTATTTGATGTTACGAGGAAATGAAGGTCAGTATCAGTTTCCTGTCTTCCATAATGTCTAGTTTGGGCCTTAATTATCCAAATCCCTAACACTGAGATACATGTTAGCCTGGCAGCCTCTTGATGAGACTGACCAGCAGGTAACAGTTTAGATGCTTTCTTCCACTTCATACAATACCATACAAATTTGGCTCCAATAAACCATTTTGTCACAAGGCAAATGGAGGTTTTCTTAATAATGCTGCTGTTCTTTTTCCTTATTCCCCTGGCTGAATTATAAGCACTTTCTTTTGCTCTGTTCCCCTAAGAAGCAATTTTTGATTCCAAGATATGTCTGATTTGATTGCATTGTTCGCTGAAAGTCACATACAGCATAAAGGTCTAGATGGATGCTATCAGCACTTCAGCTCCAATAGTTTTTAGTGCCAAGTACTGAAATTATACAAGCATACGGGTTAGAAAAGTCTATAAGAATCTATCTTATTATAGATTCCATTATAATATTTTCCTTAATCCTTAGCATGAAATCTTGTCAGATATTTATATATTTCTTCTTCTATCCTTATGACTGGATTTTTTAACATAATTGATAATGAGTACATTGACTAGTATTTCCAATTAAAGGAAAAAGACTAGTATAAACAGAATTAGGCAACAATCCAGAAATAAATCCCATTAAAGTCCACTGGACATTATGTTTATATATAGTCCTGCATTACCTGTTACACATAATTCTCACTGAAATCAGTGGGAAAAGTAAATCCCAAATCCCACATAAATTAGGAGTCATTATTCTCAAATAGGCTTAACACTATTTTTCTGTAATATATTCTGATAATGGCACGCTCTTACTTTTTCTGTTGTCTTTTTTCTGGCTTCACAAAATGGTGATTTACTCCCATCCAGGCCAGAATATTTTATTGTACGTCACAATTCTTCCTGGCCAGATCCTATGTTGTTCTGCTGATATTTATAGAAAGCAGTTATATGGATTCTTGGTCAGATACATTTGCAGGTAGGGGTCAAAAAATCAAGATGGGAGCAGCAACCATTTGATTGAAGATCTGCCTCTTTTTTACATGTGTCACACAACAAACATTAAAAAGGGACAGGACTTTGATTGTGGGTTTTGGCCCCCATTTTAACTTTTTAACCCCTTGTAGACACCTTGTTCTTGTTCCCATGTGGTTATTTCTCATATCCTACTAATTGGCATTTTTTAATTTACTTGTTTTAACTACATGAAAAGTCACATTCATATGTACTTAAATGTATATTTATAAATGTACTTCCATATCCTTTTTTTAAAGGCTAGGAATTGTTTTATGATAGATCCAGGGGATCGAGAACATTACAATTTTTGGAATGAAATTTTTGGAAACATTACAATTCTTGGAAAGAAGTAATTATGTCAGTTATTCAATCCATGCATTTTCCCCCTTATGCTTGTATTTGAAGTTATATAGACACAAAACCATGGGAAGGTGGCCAATAATTTCATTTCAGCAACTAAGACTGGGCTTATTATCTAGTGGCTAGAATATGATGTATCTAAAGTATTTGATTTTAGAATAAATTCCCAGGTATTTTGATGTAGGGCCACATTTGTGTTCAAGATATATCATTCTTGGATATGTGTGTGTACACACTGACCTTTAATGTTTGATTTAATGCATTTCAAAATCTTTCTATTCCTATAATTCAAATCTTCTAAAACTGTTTTCTTTTCATGGACCTTTTCTGGACTGAAGAATGTCATATTGATTTATCATTTTTGTACTCCAACTTCAGTAATAAGGCCAGTCTTTTTCAATACTTTGTAGTAGTCAGTTCTCTTGGAAAAGGAAGGCTTTTCTGACAATGTTATGTGTAAAAGAAGCACCAGCAAAGTTAGTAATATAGGAGGAATACCAGGCAGCTTGCAAACTAGACTAATTATGAGCCATAGTAGAGCAAGATTCCTTGACACTCTTAACTTATGTAGAATAATGTGGGACCATAAAATTAACCTGTCCAGTTTACCATTGTACTGCAGCATCCTTCACAAATCAGCTGCTGTCAAGTTAATCCAAGAAGCAAAGCCACCAATGGCTATCCACTCAAAATGGCTGAGTCAACAAGGGCAGGTGAAATATATGTCAATGTATTTTTTAAAATGCCAAACTGATAAAGTTGTCACAATTACAACTCATACTGTGCTTATTTTAATAGTACCAGATGGAGCTTCCTTGGCAAAACAATCAGGAAGAATTGAATCACAGAAGGCTGCCAAGCAAATGAAAAAAGAGAGACAGATGGTGGACAAGGAAAGAGTACTTGAGGAAGAGGAGCCTGTAGATGGGGAAAGCCCCAAAGAAGCAGCTCTAACAGAAGAATTGCTAGCCCAAAATATAGCAAGCCTTAGAGCAGACCAGGCAGTAAAGCCTGAACTTGTGGCAGGTAAAACAGAATGGGAGAAAAAACCCATAGAATCAGACCTGGCCAGTATAGAAAAAGAAATAACACCCCAGGAAGAAATAACATCTGAGAGCAGGGCAAAAGCAGAGAGAATGGCAACAAAACATAAAGCTGCTCACGGAGAGGAGGTTCTAGGGGGATTTGAATCAGAAGAGGAAAAAGTTGAAGACACAAAGTTTAGTAAGCCAGGAGCAGCTAAGAGAGAAGAATATGTGCGATGGCAGACCCCTGAGGCAGAAGAAAGTACAGAAGAAGTAACTGAGGCATCAAAAGTTTTAAAGACGGGAGAATTAGGAGGAATTAAGATGGTGGAAAGAGACATGCATGAAGCAAAAGAAAGTGTGAAAGGAAAATATGAGACAAAAGAAGCTTTGGAGGCAACATTTGCAGAAAAGATTACTATAGGGGAGGTACAAGAAAAGGTGGGAGAAACTGAACCTGAAGAAAAGGTAACTTTTCAAGAGAAAAAATATACAGTAGAGGCTGGAAAAAGAGCTAGCATAATGGAAAAGAAAAGAAAGGATGATACATTTTTGAGGGAAGATGAAAATATAGAGGAGGGAAAATATGAATTGAGCTCCATTTCCCTTACAGAAGCAGGACTTACAACACCGAAATTACAAGTGGGAGATGTTCTCTCCAGAGATGAAAAGGCAGTAAGTGATGGAAGTGATAGAAAAGTTCCCTCTGAGATGGAAGAAATAATCCAAGGCATTTCATCCAGATGGGATGAAGAGTTATACCAAGATGTGAATGGGATGAAAGCCATATCTACAGAAGATTTAGCCCTCGAGAAAATAGAGCCTAGGGTGGAAGAGGCCTTCCTCGACCATGAAACCGAAAGGGTTATTTTAGCAGAAGAAGAACATTCAAAAATAACTGAGGAAAGCAAGTCAGCAGACCAACCATATTCAGAGAAAGAGAAAGAAAAAGGGACTGAAGAGAGCCTAATGTCCAAAATGGCACCTCTAGAAGAGAAACTGGACATTGAGAAAGAAGAGCTTTCTACTGAAACTAGCTTAGAAGCTATGGCATTGCTGAAGGAAGAATCATTAGGGAAGGAAAAGGCAAAAGGAGAGATGTGGGCTGAAGAGTTAGAGGGAGAAATGAAAGGATTGTCTCGAGGAAAGAAAATGATTGAAGAAGAACAGATAGCACTCAGAGGAAAGGCAGAAGCTGAAGAGGGAGAGGCTGAGATGGCACTTAAAGGAGAGGCAGAAACTGATGAGGCAGAAAGAGAAGTTAAAATTAAAGGGGAGGTAGGAAAAGAAGAGGTAGGGGGAAAAGTGCAGATTCAATGGGAGGCAGAAGGAGACAAGGCACTTAAAAGGAAGGCAGAAACTGAAGAGGCCAAAGCTGAGGTGGGACCTAAGGAGCAGTTAGAAGTCACAGAGGCAGAAGCTGAGATGACTCTTAACAGGGAGGCAGAAACTGGACAGGTCAAAGCTAAGGTGGTACCCAAAGGAGAGTTAGAAGCCAAAGAAGCAGAAGCTGAGGTGACTCTTAAAAGAGAAGCAGAAATTGGACAGGTCAAAGCTAAGATGGTACCCAAAGGAGAGTTAGAAGCCAAAGAAGCAGAAGCTGAGGTGACTCTTAAAAGAGAAGCAGAAATTGGACAGGTCAAAGCTAAGATGGTACCCAAAGGAGAGTTAGAAGCCAAAGAAGCAGAAGCTGAGGTGACTCTTAAAAGAGAAGCAGAAATTGGACAGGTCAAAGCTAAGATGGTACCCAAAGGAGAGTTAGAAGCCAAAGAAGCAGAAGCTGAGGTGACTCTTAAAAGAGAAGCAGAAATTGGACAGGTCAAAGCTAAGATGGTACCCAAAGGAGAGTTAGAAGCCAAAGAACCAGAAGCTGAGGTGACTCCTAAAAAGGAGGCAGAAACTGGACAGGTCAAAGCTGAGATGGTACCCAAAGGAGAGTTAGAAGCCAAAGAAGCAGAAGCTGAGGTGACTCTTAAAAGAGAAGCAGAAATTGGACAGGTCAAAGCTAAGATGGTACCCAAAGGAGAGTTAGAAGCCAAAGAACCAGAAGCTGAGGTGACTCCTAAAAAGGAGGCAGAAACTGGACAGGTCAAAGCTGAGATGGTACCCAAAGGAGAGTTAGATGCTGAAGAAGCAGAAGCTGAAGTGACTCTTAAAAGGGAGGCAGAAACTGGTCAGGTCAAAGCTAAGATAGTACCCAAAGGAGAGTTAGATGCTAAAGAAGCAGGAGCTGAGGTGACACTTAAGGAGAAAGCAGAAACTGGACAGGTCAAGGCTAAGGCGGTACCCAAAGGAGAGTTAGAAGCTGAAGAAGCAGAAGTTGAGGTGACCCTTAAAAGGGAGGCAGAAACTGTACAGATCAAAGCTAAGGTGGTACCCAAAGGAGAGTTAGAAGCTGAAGAAGCAGAAGTTGAGGTGACTCTTAAAAGGGAAGCAGAAATTGGACAGGTAAAAGCTAAGGTGGTACCCAAAGGAGAGTTAGAAGCTGAAGAAGCAGAAGTTGAGGTGACTCTTAGAACGGAAGCAGAAATTGGACAGGTCAAGGCTAAGGTGGTACCCAAAGGAGAGTTAGAAGCTGAAGAAGCAGAAGTTGAGGTGACTCTTAGAACGGAAGCAGAAATTGGACAGGTCAAGGCTAAGGTGGTACCCAAAGGAGAGTTAGAAGCTGAAGAAGCAGAAGTTGAGGTGACTCTTAAAAGGGAGGCAGAAACTGGAGAGGTCAAAGCTAAGATGGTACCCAAAGGAGAGTTAGAAGCTGAAGAAGCAGAAGTTGAGGTGACTCTTAAAAGGGAGGCAGAAACTGGAGAGGTCAAAGCTAAGATGGTACCCAAAGGAGAGTTAGAAGCTGAAGAAGCAGAAGTTGAGGTGACTCTTAAAAGGGAGGCA